TAATTGTAAGCTCCAGGGAGTTTATACTCTTGGTAATACTTCGATGTTATTATGTATACATATTCGTATAATATTTTTTTCTACAAAATCCACATATCTCCAGACACTGGATATTATACCAATGTGTATACATAAATATATTGGAGAGATTCTGCAAAACGAAAATGCGTACAAACTTTCGCTCTACGTCATGAAGTGAGGAACTTCGCACGGACTTTTGCAACTTAAAGGGGAAGTTAAAGCAAAAATTAAAATTTCACCAGTTGTAGTCTTCGGGGTGCTGAGTCGAATGGTCTTGGTCCGAGGAAGCTGAGACGCTCCCTTCCTACTTGAATCCCAATCGAACTCGCGCACTTCCACCGAAACTGGGTGACTGCGCCCTACGAGATGGGGATTTGTATGCAAAATGTCACTAAAAGCGCCATTTCGTTCTTATAAAAGCACGGATGACCGCGATTGGCCCATATGTTGCAGTCTTTTGGACGCTGAGTCGACTGGTTTTGGTCCGAAAAGGCTGCGATGCAGCGTTCCTCCTTTATTCCCAATCGAACATGGTTGAACAAGTGGTCACGTGCTCCTGGGTGCCCAAATCACCTGGTCACCACGCTAGCAGGTGACAACTTTCACACCAAGGTTCAACTCGAGTGACAGGACTGCACCCAAAAAAGGTCAAACAGGCTAGTAAGTTGTACCCTGCAGGCACGGTGACCAGGTGACTGGCGTACGCAGGAGCACGTGACCGCTTGTTCAACCATGTTCGATTGGGAATAAAGGCGGAACGCTGCATCGCAGCCTTTTCGGACCAAAACCAGTCGACTCAGCGTCCAAAAGACTACAATATATGGGCCAATCGCGGTCATCCGTGCTTTTATAAGAACGAAATGGCGCTTTAGTGACATTTTGCATGCAAATCCCCATCTCGTAGGGCGCAGTCACCCAGTTTCGGTGGAAGTGCGCGAGTTCGATTGGGATTCAAGTAGGAAGGGAGCGTCTCAGCTTCCTCGGACCACGACCATTCGACTCAGCACCCCGAAGACTACAACTGGTGAAATTTTAATTTTTGCCTTAACTTCCCCTTTAAGAGAACAGGAAATGAACTTTCGTGAGAAGTTTCGTGAGAGTCATGGTGAACGTGCACTTGGCGCGTGCAAACTACGAAAATGTGGAGAACACAAAGCTCGTGCGAATATGCGTACATATCTTCGCAAGGCCCGTCGCGAATTTTCATTTTGCAGATACTCTCATTATACCAATGTGTATACAGTGTACAGCACCACCACTATTTCTTGCCACAGAACAGAAGCTGTAAGGCACGGCGGAAAGGGTCCATAAAATGCTTATGGACTCTCAACGACGGGCTTTCTCCGGCTCGTGACCGTACAGTGATATTGGCTTCTGTAGCATAGAGTAAACGAGTTGGGAGCTTATAATCATGTTCATACGCAGGGTTGAACACTAGTATGTACTCTTTGCTGTGATCAAGAGCACAGTCATAACTAGTCGAGGTGTCAACGAGTAGTAGGGTACCCGTGCTACCCGTAATTTGATCAGGTAGTAGGGTAGCAATTTGCTCCTGAGAACCCGATCGAGCATGGTGTTTTTGCAACGGTGCATGCTACACGACTACGTGCTTACGGTACACTTTCTATGTAACGCAAGTGCACACTCACACTACAAACTGTGTCAAAAAATACCCAATATGGTACCCATGCTACCCGGATAAAATTACCCGAACACGTCACCCGACCAAATCCCTACCCGTTGCAGCTCATATAACTATTTAAACTAGTGAGTTGTAACTAGGGAGTACTTGAAGTACTAAAATGTATTTACTACTCCCTGGTTGTAACATACGTATTTTACGACTGCCTGGACATTGTTATTATTATTTATTCATATTTTAATAGGGCAGTCCCCACAGACATAATCTCTCGCATACAGTGCTGTCCCGGAAGAAGTCAACGTCATTTGTTACGATGCAATACTCCTCATGAGCATTATTTACGTTTCTACGGGTGGTGAAGTATTGAACTAGTTTGCACAGGAACGTGGATTTGTCCACCAAAGCCCTGGGATACGTCTGATTACACTTCGAAGTACATCCCAAAAAAGGGTGTCGGGACAGCAACCATAGTGGAGTTGCACACTTCTGGGGGCTATGCTGACACCAGGGCACCCATACTCCCACACCATTCATGTTCAAAATTGCAATTGGTGAAGCCTGAAAACAAAAGCTTGAACCTTCTCTGGATATCCATTAGACGGAACTTGACTTCTCGGTTTTTGTTACATCCCTAGGCTCTATGCAGTGAACGTAGTATGCGTGTACGTATACCCGAAGAAAACTGTATACCATTCATGTACACCGTACGCAACATGGGCATGTCCTTGTCGCAGGTGCCGCATGTCGTGTCACAGAAAGTGATACATGTATGAGAATATGCCGTTATAGCATACTCTCGTGGAACAGAATTCGAGCTGTTTTGGTCATTCCCCATGCATGTTAGTCACAAATTTCTGAAATGGACATTTGTACATGTGCATACTTCGTGGTGCAAACCTCCACACATTGGCATCAACTAAAAATACGCTCTCAAACGTCTACATTTGAACAGTTTTGGAAAAAATGCAGGAAGTGCACGCCGCATCTTGATAAAGCGAAGGTGCAAGTTAAAAGGTGCAGACGGTAAAGTAAACAATCAAAGGGCTTGCTCAAGAATGAAGAAACCCATGGCCAAAGGTCAGGAAAAGCGGAGCATTCTGATTTTCCTCCAGTGCCGCCATGCACACACACACACATCAGGTACTGTAAACTGACTAATATTCACGACGGATTAATGGTCGCTATTCTCGCGAGAAGAGCGTAACGCGAATATTAACCATCATGAAATCTAACTTCAACAGTGGGTGTATGTAAGTGGTCCCAGTGCTTCGCGAACTTTTGCCATCGCAAACTCGCTGGTTCTAAGAAATCGCGAAAAATTAGTGACGTGAATATTGGGCGGTTTACAGTACTTCATTTTGGCCACTGTAGTCTACCCTGCTACAGTCAAGCTGTCAGGTGAAATCCGACAATCGGATTTCACCTAGCACAACTGGAGAGGAATAAATATGCGGCTAAGCAGATATCCAGCTTAAAGCGACTACAATGAGACCGCTGACAAAACAATAATTATAAGACCATAAGACCTTAAAACCAATACTCCCAAAATCCAATGAAGGATGATGTGAAAAATTGATCAGGTGATGGCCTTTTTGTCCATGCCATCACCACTATTGCAAGAACACATGTGTATGGGATGCTTACTGTTTTAGTTGGCAAGTGCTTCTCCTGGCAAGACTTCATCAACTCGAACATAATGTTGCCACGAGTCTGTTAAGTAAAAGTCTGAGCCCCATATTTCTACTTCAAGAATGCCCACATACAACCTACTGTAACAAGACAAGCTTTTACAATGTGTTGCAAACTTGGATGATTCTTCAAAAAACAAGAGATGCATTAATGTAACGATATTCGGATTTTTGTGGGTTAGCGAGGTGAAATTCTAACGAATTCTGTCTCAAAACCGGCAAATGACTGTACTTGTACATATCGATTTGCACATAACGACTTCAAATGCTAATGATTTTCTTAAATTCGTTAACATAACTGGTCTTACAGTACCGATATCGTGACATCTACGCGCCGCACGGTTACATGCATGCCGATGTAACCCCTCTGAAGAACCCCGAGTACGCCCCTGGTGACCTTTCTTATCCTTTCTTTACAGAATTTAAAGTATCAATAGGTGGTAATCCTTCACAACCAATCCCCTCACCAGTGCAAACAGGAACATGTCGCCAGTAACCAGTCTGTGTACAGGACAAAGCCAGACCGCCACCCTTGTTCACGAATCCATGCTGACATTTCACGACACCGGCAGGATTAATTGACGTGATGTATTTTCCAGATGGTACCTTGCACTCTGCATCCAAAAATTGAATTGAGCACCAAAAGACCAGCATCAAAGATCAGAAAGGTACAGACAAACCAGAGTGATCACTTACCTTTTTTAAAGATTGGATGCACTTGCCAAGCAACAGGAATTGCAGTGAACGACATAGATGGCAAATAATATAATTATTATATAAATTAGGGGTGAGACAATCATGCAAATTAATCGCTGCTTACTCATTATTGTTGTACTCGATACTCATTTTACAGTTGCAAAATGTGCTTTTCAAATACTGGGAAGGCTGTTCAAAGTGCTGGAAAAAACAGGGAGGCCAAGCTACTCACGACTCCTTCAATGAAACACCTGAAGATAGCCACAGAACCAACAACTATAACAAGCAAAATGAATACAGATAATCGATGACCAATTTTCAGTGATCGTTTCACCCCTAATATAAATGTAAAATCATGCCTCACGGTAGGAACGGCAATCTCCTGTCCGACAGTGTACATGCATACATGACACCTACCTTCTTTATCACAATGCATGTGAAGTATACCAACCATGATGTGATGACACTTACCTATTACTGATTGCCATAAAGACTCACTCGAGCATACCCAGGCAGTGTAACCACTCAAACGAGAAAACAAAAAGAACTAGGAAAAAGAAATACGGATGGATATGATCATAGTACTGGGCATCAAACGCACGAATGCAACATATATTCATGTGGCTGCTGCCAACAGCTGTCTCTTTTGGCGCTTTGGTCAATTTATCGAGAAGCGAGATTGAATGTGGAGAGGGTTCATTCTCAAGCTTAGTTATTAAGCAGGCAACTTATCAAGTTCAACGAAGTACAGAGTATGATTGTCAATATATTATTCAGGAATCTTACCTTGTGCAAAGCAACTCACCACATCCATGCCGTTCTCTTCTTGAGAAATAATAAGCGATCTACCCTTACCTTCACTAGTTCCGGTACTTGAGTAATTAATGTCAATGTTTAGGTACTAGAGGTCAAGTTCAGTTTATACAAGACATAAGCCAGTAGTTGGAAAATACCTTCGCAAGTGGTCCCAGGGCCGTAATGTCCAGGCGAGCAGCGACATAGAAATCCTCCATCTGTGTCAGTGCAGGTAGCATCACTACTGCAATTATGGACACCAGTGGTACACTCATCAATATCTGCATAAAGACATAAACACAAAGACAGTACAGTTCGGCATTCCACAAAATAGTATCAATGATACATTGTGAAAGGCTTGTTTTTAAGCATAGAGGCTCTTGACCCAACAAAACTTCCTTCCAAATAAAACACAATGTACCAGTACATTTCCTAAGGGGCCGGTCACATTGAGGGAACAATCCTCAGATTATAAACCGGGAATAATTTTTTCTGCTTTTCATCACGGCCACACTGGATACGCACAATGAAAATAATCTCACCGACACGAGCTACTTTTTTTGTCACCATTCGCTTCTGGCTGTCTGTCAACCCCGCTCCTGGGTCAGAGCTGAATCAGCAGTATCGCTCCACTTCAGAACGCAATAAAAAACAAGGAAACTCAAAGAAATCAAGTGAAAGCAGCGGATGATTATAATTTTCGGCGGAAAAGCGAGGCCTCGAGCTGATTTTCATCGAGTGGATAAAATCTCTCAAATCTCCCGCTCAGCAGCAACTATCCATGGTAACCACGGATTTTTTCAAATTTTCCCTCAGTTTGACTGGCCCCCTAAGGGGCCATCCATAAATATAGGTATTTATTTAGAAACGAAAACTAGTCGTTTAGGGGGGGGGGAGGGGGTTGAGGGGGTTGAGCGCCTGTTCGTTTCTCGAAAAATATTGATGCACAGTGTGTATGTGTGGGCACGTCCAGAAAAGAAAATATCGATTCTATGCATCGTTTGTATGTGTTCGTTTCTGAGGGAGGGGGTTGAAGAGAAACGACTAGTTTTCGTTTCTAAATAAATATCGGTATTTACAGATGGCCCCTAAGCAAAATGTGGAGAGAAGTTGGGCAATATATATAAAGTGCCCAATTCTTAATCGAACACGGTAAAGGTTTTAGTGATAGCTAGTGATGAACTATTTTCACGAAGAATTCTTGAATACTTTCCAATAATTCTCGAGTTGGAACAAAATTACTTTTTGATTTATTGGCACCACACTGACTTGAACTCTTGAAAACTTTTTAATAATTCTTGAGTCGGAACAAATTTTCTTTTGAATTACTGGCACCACGTTGACTAAACCTGGAACCTTCATTGAGGGCCAGTCATAATACAACTCCATAAACCAGCACAATGTGCTGTACTGATAGCCAGAGACGACGTCGCAATGCCGACCAGGCTAGTAGGACCCTCGGGTAGCACACACTTCTCACATTCACTATGGCTGTCGGGAAACTCTATGCATGAAAGATTTGCTGCAAGCACTTAGAGGCAGTGAGAGCACATTTTATAAGCATTGTACCATGCATACTTGAACATTGCCTGTCCCGGAACACAAGAGCAGACAGGAAGCATGTTCAACTTACTACTGCAGAGTGTGCCGGAGATGTTTGTAGCGACTCCCGTCGGACCACACTCCACAACAGAAACACCAGCCAGTGCATAACCTTCGATACACGACACGGTGAGATTGCTGCCGTACGTTAAATTTCCTCCAGGAAGGAGGCCATTATTTGGTGGAAGCGGAACAGGACAGGTCACATCTAGACAGAAAAAGCCATTCAAGCAATGTGTACTTAGAAACACATTGCATTAGGGGTCGTCCATAATTATCGAACTTTTTTCACGAAACGAAATAATTTCGTTATGGGGTGGGAGGGGGTTGACCAATTTCGTTTCAGAAAAGTTCGATACATGTACATGGCCATAGGAGCAGTGACACACTTGCGACTTTTGTTGTATACATGTATTATATGCATGTATATGTCAACAACTTTTACGTTCTGAGGGGGAGGGAGGGAGGGGTTGGGTCTAAACTAAAATAATTCGTTTGGTGAAAAAAGTTCGATATTTACGGACGGCCCCTTAATAATTGGCATAATATATGTTGGAGGAGCAACTACAATGGCTACATAAAATTTACGCAAAGATCAAAATAACATCACAAAATGGCATCCTCAAAATTCGCACATCCGAGGGTCATGAACGCATGGTGGCATTCGATACTGTTGCACAAAGGCAACACACCGCCACGACCATTGATTCTGATGTACGTGAGCATATAGGTAAATAAACTAAGTGCTTACTAATATCACAGTTCCTGCCTGTGAATCCTGTCACGCAACTGCAGTTATAGCCACCACCAGAGTCCTCAATGCAAGTTCCACCATTCATACATGGTGATGGAGAACAAGAGTTATCTGCACAGAAAACAAAAGCAATGATAATGATCACCTTCCGATCACATGTACGTACGGCCCATGTCACAGAAGCAAATGAGAACATAGAATGATAGAGCTGATCCATGTGGCAGAGGTCATCAATGTATACAGTCTATTTAATGGGCGATTTGCCACTTTCTTGAAAGCTTCATTAATAATGTCCATCCGGCCGGACCACCGGAAATCCAAATGCTACGCCCTGAATTTTGTTCACACTACTCAACATGCAGGAGTTAAACAGTTAGTTTACACTAGCTACAACTCTGTCTCTCTCTCTCTCTCTCTGTCTGTCTGTCTCCCTCTCCCTCCCTCTCTTTCTCTCTCTGCTATTGGCGCGCCTGGTTGTGATGAAGCCGAGACCCAAGGTCGGCAGAGCATCCCAGACCACGCCACCACTCCCCTTATTCATGGCTCACACATGACGGGTTTACGTGGCTCTAGTAAAAAAACTTTTAAAAAAACTAGCATGTGTGTGAAAAACTCAGTTATGGGTAGGCTTTGCTCTGACTTACTTGCCAGATTCACTTATACCCGTAAAGCACCCGCACATCCATAAATGAAATTTTAGCCACTCTGCTATCTAACAATGATAGGAGTTCGCGGTACGAACTCTTCAGGCATTTGTAGCACACGCTGTCAGAAAGGATACGAATGCATTATTGCGAAAGAGCAGTTTGGCACTGCTAATAATGCAGATCCATGTGACGTACATCAGCGACATACTCATGACTTCGTCTTACGGCCCAAGTTACAGGGTATACAGGCCCTCTCTCAAATAATATAACCAGTCCGGTTAGTACATAAACCCCATTAGTGATCTGAAATCCCTGGCGAAACGTGGTCTATACAACTGTTTACAGGTCCGGTTACAACATAATTCGTTAGTGCATAAGCTTCGCTATAACGACCCTTTACCCAGGTCCCTGGGGTGCCAAACCCTCAGTATAAGACAATATTAACCATGCATGACCAAGGCCAAAACACGTAGGATAAAGCAGAAAGACGCAACGTATTATATCTATGGATTCGTAGATATTGACGATCTTTTGCATCCAAGGAAGAGCTATGTTGGAGATTTTCAATTATCTTATAACGAGTTGAAGCGTCGATAATGTATGTTGTATCGAGGGTAGCCCAGGTAAGTACGAATTAGTGCCTATTTCACCTTTAGCTGCAAGTACTGTTACAAGACAAGTCTCGTTATAAGATAACTTTTTCGATGACCCAGAGCTTATCTACTAGTACAGTCTGTATCGGCTATAGCGTACCCTTTTGATTTCCGTGATGTTATCACTACAACCGATGCATCACTATATGCGATACGATCGATTTTTTTCTTTTTTCGATCGACACATGAAAGGCAAGGAAATACTTCCAGCTAGCATGGCGTTTTGACAAATGAGCATGCTGCATAGTTGACAGTGCCCGCATTTCCATAAAAAAATTCTGTTACGTACATGTACATGTATCACTATAAAAATAAGCAACGTGAAGAAAGTAAAAAAATAGGGCCTTTGATATTATTGCTACATGTATTTTAAAGTTATCACTATAGCCGATAATAATATAGTGTGTTATGCATGTTTTGATTCTTTGTTGCCATCATAATATCCGATATATCATTACATCCGATAATATTGGTTATAGTGATATTTGTACTGGACAAAATGCGTTTTGCTTTTGAAATTTCGTACCAATATCACTGTAGCCGATATATTCTTATATCCGGTCACTCTATAGCCGATACAGACTGTACTAACGAGGGAGGATCTGTAGTGTGTGTGGGGGGGGGGGGGGTAGGAGGTACGCGGTTTTGGAACTGGCCACGAAGGAGAAGAAAATGCATTACACGAAGCTATAAGATCAATTTCCTACCTGCCGAGCCTGAGCTGTCATCGACATCTTGTGATAAACAAATGGATGGTGCAAAGAAGACCAAGAGAACTACCAGAGTGCTCACGAACGTATTCATTGTGACGAGATCTTCGGTACAGAGATGCGGTATGCTACGGAAAGAACGAAAATCGGCCAGCGATCTGCAAACGCACGAAGACTCGGGCATCAAAGCGGGAGCCAGAAGGAAAATGAAGTTCACCCAGGCACTTACTTTATTGATACCGGTTGTTAGGAAGCGGACGGTAGAGTAGAAGATTAAAATGATGTGGAAGGACTTGGGTAAGGGCCAGCCTTACTGGAGAGCAGCTTATAGATACAAACTCCCCACCTTCACAGGATGTAGTGAAATCAAGTAGAAAGGGGAAAAGGAGAAAAGCGACAGTTCCACAGAGGAGATCGAGCAAGAGCGGCGGGAACGGAAATGCGGAACCGTGAAATATTTTTCGAAATGTACGACCATTGACTAGTCGATCATGACTGTACCCGATCGCGTACCCACCGGTACCGCCACAGCTACATGAGTCGGTGCACGCGCAATCAGCCAGTCACACAGCTCAACTCCGTACATCATGGTACACACGGTTCATGGTACAGCAGTGCAGCTACACGACCTCTAACGGTAACTACATGATTGTACATTGTAGATTGTGCAGGTCTGACTGTTCAAAATCTGGTTTGTTGGTGGACTCGATCTTGTGCCCCCATTTTTTCCATATTACATGTACAATTTTTTGGACAATTTTTTGGAAAGGAAACGTTTGTAGATGGGGAGCATCAGGGAGGCCCGGAACTCAGGAGCAGACACCTTCAAGCTCGATAAACACGGAGCAAAGAAAACTACCTTATCACTTCCAATGCATGGAAAGTTGGTTACTCCCCACACATCGCCGCAGTCGCTACATTGTATCCCTAAAAATAATAGTTTTCGCATTTCCAGTGGAGTGATAGAGAGAACAAGACAGGCCATAGGCCTACAGTCCATTTCAAAACTATAGACGCGTAGATCTACCTAGGCAAAAACCGTTATGCCAGCATCTATACCACATAAAATCTGTGATCACTTTGTGCATAAATTTTTCCAAATTGGGCGTCTGTTATCCAATCGTTTAGAAACTATAATTATGGGAGTAATTGTGGAGCGGTCCTGAGCAATATTCCGAAAACTATTCTCAAAAAGTTCCAGACAAATTTGAAATATTTCAAAAACCCTACGCGTCTATAGACCTTATTCGATAAACGTCACAATCACGTGAACCGGGGTCCCGGGAACCAGGGAGTGGCAAGAGACCTGCACTCACTGTAGCCAGTGCTCAGGGCATGCTATTTCGGCATATGAAAGTCGAAATACCTTTCCTGTACAGTACTCCACAAATGGCCCCACTCTCATAAAAAAGTTGCCAATGCAAAGGAAAAGGCAATGACAATACCAAGACTCAAGTACATAAGCTCATTTACTCTGTAGAAGCTTGAAGAGCAACTATCCGCTTGTAGTCTGTAATGTAGAGCGACTCCGCGTGTTTCCCCAAACACCGGTCGAGGAAAATATGGCCAGAACAAACGACGAATGGCGGCAATGCTCTATGTCGCGGACACGTTGCTCGTAGCAGCGCCGCTTCTCCTTCTCTTGCTTGATATAGCAGGAAGCGAGATGGCACGGTTTTAGTGGGCATGAGAACCGAGTACGAGTATTGTACACTTTTTTCCTTACGACTTTTTTGGCTTTTCAACTCTCTCAGTCTGAGACTAAACCAAGGCCTTAGGGGCGTTCGAAATTTCGCTAGCTTCTCGGAGAAATAATTATTATATCCTGGGGGGTTAGTTGAAGAAACTGGAATGGAACGGATCTCGAAGACGAAGCCTCGATCGATCGCGAAGGATCGGGAAATCTTTTGAACATGCGAAGCGCCAAAGAGGCCGCGATCTTGAGTGACTCGTGTGTACATGACTTTGTAGTACGCGCTGGGCGTGAACAATGGTGAAGCTAGCAGCAAAAAAGACACTACGGCTGTGTTTACATGAAGCGTTTCAACCCGGGTTGAGTTCGACCCGGGTCAGATTTCAACCCGCCATGTGCACAAAGTGAATGGCGCGTTTACATGACGCATTGCGCTTGACCCGGGTTGAAATTTCGCCCCGGGTTGATTTCAACCCTCCCCCCAAGGGGAGGGTTGAAATCAACCCGGGTCAAGAAAATCGTACAAACGTACTTCTGTGCGTATCTCGCGCCAGGTTTGAACGGCACTGCAGATGCAAATTTCGCGCGAACGGATTCACGTGACCATACAGGACTGTAGAAGTGGACTTTTGGCGGCATATCAGTATTTGACCCGGGTCAACTGTCTTCATGTAAACGCTCACCTCTTTTGTTTGTCGTACAGACTTTCAACCCGGGCTGAACTCGACCCGGGTTGAAATTTCTCATGTAAACACAGCCTACGACACTACTCGTACTCAGGTAAATAATGTCATGATCAACCAGCATGCGCTGACCCCCAAACACGGGAATCTCCATGTAGATCTACTAGTACTACTGTAAGACATGCTATTATAACGAGTCGCAAATTATTTAACGATTGTCCAAAATTCATAGGTTAACGAGAAGATATGTTAAAACGATCTTGCAGTATTCTGCCATATCCACACACAGCATATATGAAGCAGTACGGCCTCAACGGATTTATTATAACGAAGAAATGTCATCCGTTAAAACGTTAGATTTGCTTCCTCGTTATATATACATGTCTTACAGTAGTGTATAGGCACCTGTTCTTTGAAGCTGCGAGAGCTGGGAGAGTTTTGGAGAATATAAGATCGAACACTTCTCCAACTTTTCCGAGAGGATTTTAGAATGCACCCTTCCAAGTTAGTTTTCCCATACCTGGGTTACTCGGACCTCATCCACTTCCTTGTCATTGGACATGTTCAGTCAGTTCGGTTTGCGAATAAATAATCAATGTCAGCAAGAGTAGACTATAATACCGGTACTATAGACTATAAGTAGGGTGTTCGGACGATTTTGAAATTGCTCCGATCTCCTCGATTTTAGTCTCGTTGGAAAGAGTAGGATAAACTAGCCGGGAAAT